CACGAGCAAGCAGAAGAGAGCCAGAGTAGATGAGAGGGATTCAAAACACTGTAACAATGGTGTACGATCTCTGGTGGGAACAACAAGAAAAGCAGTCAATGAGCAGCGCTGTAAAACGACAGTTGAAGTTTATTAACCACGAAAACATTATCGCGAATATTGTAGCAGCAAGCCAACGCGAGGAGTCCCGAAGTCAAGTACCCGCACAACTGATGCAGTAGCTGCTGTAGATCCAGCGCTAGGGGATAGCACCCAATAAGGCAAGTAACCGCTTGTTCAGCGCCGCAAGCCTTGCACGTAGCTACCGTAGCTAGGTCCAACCAAATGAGAACTGAATGTAATGAAGAACTTGTACGTACTTCTTTGACAGAACCCAAATGATTGGTGTCCCACGTTGGCCGAGGGATGCTGCCTACTCGGGCGACCCTAGTTTTTTGTAACTGTGTACCCCTCATTTTTGGCGGCCCCTCCATTTGTTTTTAGTCTCGCAATCCCTTTCACCCTGTACCATCACTCCTCGAGATTTGTTTCTAACCTCGCAGTACTTCTCACACCTTTCACCCTTCACCTTCACCCGTCGAGATATGTTTTTAATCTCGCAATACTGTGCACCTCTTTCACCCTTCACCTCCACCTGTCGTGATTTATCTTGTATCTCGCNGTCCCGGGATTCGGAATTATCCTTATCACGTTTGTCGGTCCCCCGCTGAGCACGCCCACCGCNGTCGTTTTTGCACTCCGCACGGGTGTGCGTAAAGCGTACGTTACTGAATCTGCAACCAGTAAAGTCACATTACTTCCTAGGTTTGGCGGTGTCGGACTTGGCAGTACCAGCAAACGATACTTTCGCCTTCGCCCGCGCGGGAGGGTCCCGGGATTCGGAATTATCCTTATCACGTTTGTCGGTCCCCCGCTGAGCACGCCCACCGCGTTGCGCGCCGTATGGTCCACAACTGGACATGAACGCCACCTGCCCTGAAATATAGTTTTCAATGGCAGTAATGCGGTTCTTGTTGTCGTCCGCAGTACTTTGGAGCTGCGCGGGGCGAGCAGAGCCGTGTACGGTAGAGGCGGTAGCCGGGATGGGGGCAGGGGGCGAGCGCAGTTTTATTGGACTCGTGTCTACGAGCACGCGCCTTCGACTCCATGAAAGAATCGGATGGATCTGCCCGCATCATCTGGACGCGAATATGGGGGTGTACACCGTTTTCGAAAGATGCAGTGAGAGCTTGGTTGAAAGCGTGTTCATGAGGTAGTACATTCAGCGGACCTGTACGTTCAGCTTCGGCTAGAAGTCTGGCATACGCGCGTGGTCCTCTGAGCGCAAACCCGTCAACTGATTCGCCAGTCTTCGCTTCGAATGTCATGACATCACGTGCAAGAAGAGCTATCCGGTTGGCGGGAGCGAACGATGTGGTGAAAGCCGTGACCCATTCCTTCCATGTTTTCGGAGGTGTGATTCGGACCACTTCCCCACGTGCACGCAACGCATTTAGCTGAGCTGGCGGTCGCCATTCGAGAGATGAGCCAAGCATGAGGCTGAGACTTTGAGCTGCGGCACCTCGCACGAAGAGCGCGAGATGTTTGATTGCGCGGTGATCGATTGTGCTTTGAGAGACGTTGTCTGCAGACAACAGACCGATGTGTGCCCTGTAAAGTACCATTTTTTCCGGAACATTTTCGTGAGGCAGACCCTCGAGCTTGAGATCAGGAGGTAGGTCAGTAGCTTTCTGAGTAAATCGCGCCGTGCAAATCACGTCCTGGTTTACCGCGGTTTGGGTTACCAGGGTAGGGTTGTACTGGTTTACCGTTTGCTGGTTTACCTGGTTCGGTGAGGCCTGGTTTACCGGGTTAACAGGTGAATTGTCGGTGTAGCCATTTTCCTTGCAGGGGTCTGTTGAACACTTACTTTGCTGTCGTGTGCATACCAGAGCGATTTTCTGCTTGTAGATCGGGGGCAAGCGAACGCGGATTCACCTTCTGGATGTCTTGCTGGTGAGCGGCTCCCGGCATAAGCATGCTAAGGACCCATGCCGGCGGGGCCTTTTCCGCCTCCACTGCCTTTGAGACCGCGCTGACGAGATTGGCCTCCAGCGGCCCGCCGCTTGCCAGGAGCGGTGCACTCTGCTGACTGGCGGCGCCGGCGCGGTTCTGCAGGATGTCGTGAGCGAGGTCGTCGTCGACGTTGTCGTCATCGTCATCGTCGTCGTCAGGGGGTGGGTCGGTGTCGAGGGTTTGGGTTTTACCAGCCCTGGCGACGTCGCTAGCGCTGCTGTTGTTGTCGCTGTCACGACCGTCACCCAGGGCGTGGAAATACCCGCGATGGTGACTACTTTGCGAGGGTGCTACGCTCGCAGCCGCACCGGCGGATTCCCCAACTTGGGCAGGCTTCGGCTTTCCCTCTTGGGGCTTAGCCGAGCCGTGGCTGGTAGTGGCAGCAGCCTCGGGACACCGCGTTGCTGGCGGTTTGGGCGTCAGCTGCTTTTGCTTTTATGCTGTTGCTGCTGTTGTTGCGATCCGCCGTCCTTTTTCTTCCATTGCTTTCTTGGATTGGAGCCCATGTTTCACACGTGGGTTGCAAAGATAGAACGCTTCGTCGAACGCCACTATGGGGCCCTCTACTCTGGGTGAGCGGAGAGTCCGGGGTTGTGGTGGCTTTGTGCTGCCACCGGAGGTTGGCTGTATTCCTTTGGTACAATGTGGCGAGGAAGGCCAAGCGTGACCGAGCGAACTCATTCAAGCTAGGGTGGTTCGGAGAGTTTGCGAGCCTTCGTGGACCCATTTTCCCACTCTCCTAAAGGTCCATCAACTCTTCGCAGCCGTTGGGAATCACAAGAGTTGTGAACCCTCGGAGAACGGTAATCTATTTTCACAATTCCCTCAGATCCTACTCTTTATGTACGTGTATCTGTGCTCCCTGAATCTCCACATCCTGACCTCCACATACCGTAATCATCGGAGTCTTGGCACACTGTGCGGTCGCTTTATTAGGAGTTTCGAACTTCAGACTTTTGTCGCACAGGTGTGCGAAGACCCCGACATGTGCCAAGTTCGCGATACCTGTGCGGAAATGCAGTAATTGTTTTGGTCTAAGAAACAACGCACACCCCTGTGCCAAGACCCCGATATGTGCGGTGCTGTTTAAATCCAAAGCGGATGATACGGAGACTTTCGGGGAATTGCCACCACAACAGTTCCGTGGCGGAGAAGTAGCGGCGGAAAATCGGGAAAATGCCCGGGATGGAGCTGCGGCTCGACCACTCGCAACGCGCGGCTACAATGTCGGCGGGTGCAAGCGCGGGACTTGCCGACGCCTCACAGGCATCACAGGCCTCACAGGCTAGTGCTGGCGTCCTTCCTCTGCGTATCAGGGAGCTGCCGCTGGGGACCCGAAGGCAACCGGCGAGGCTATCGATGAGATGCTAGCCGCCAACGACCCCGTCTAAAGCAGCAACGGCAAACGCGCGTATCCGGAACCCAACTTCCCGATCGAGCGGTCAGGAGCAGTGGGAGGGAAAGGGAGCTACCCCATCCGGTTCAAACTGAACGCGGCGGCCTACACACGGGAGATCTGCCCGTGCGACGATCAACCGGTGGGAAACAACGGCGCGGCGAAAGTTCTCCAGGTGCCTCGGAAGCGTATCATCGAGTGGCTGAAGAAGGAGGAGCAGCTCAGGGAGTCACTGACCCCAAGCTTTCCAAGGCCAAGCAGGTTCACAGCGGAGGGAAAGCTTCGACAGTCGACGCCGAACAAGCCCTTGTGGACTACATCAACGAGCAGCGCAAGCAGCACCGTGGTTGTGGTAATCGGGAGGTGATGAACAAGCTGCTCGAGCTGAAGCCTGACGCCCTTGGCGGGATGCCGGCGAATGCGAAACCGGAGGAGGCGCTGGCTTTCAAGGTCAAATTCAACTCCTGGTACCAACGGTTCCGCAAGCGGAATGGGTTCAGCATCCGCCGGCGTACCAGCGTGGGCCAGAAACTGCCCAAGGGGTTCGAGGGTATGGCGTGAGCGACGGTGATGAAGCTGCGCGAGGCTCTCGTACAGTGTGCCGGTGAGATCTACGCTCTGCGCCACCCGCCGGCACCTCACGAGAGCCCCATCAAAGGGTAGGATCTGACTTCCGAGCAGCTCGTGTCTGTGGAGGCGGAGGTTATCGAGGAACTCGGCAAGATAGACCAGACGCCAGTCCAGCACGAGATGCCGGGCGAGACCACTCTGGAGGAGACCGGTGCGAAGGATGCTCGCATCACCACAGGAGGTGAGGGCGAGCTACTATTTTTGTCAAAGTTTTGTGTGGTGTGCGGATTTTTTGTCGTTGGACATTTTTTTTTGACACATGTTTTTTTTTGCGTGCCGGTACACGGTGCGATGTAGCTCTATCTGTAGACACAGGAGGGTTGCTACCTTTTTCTGCGGGATTATTCTAAACTTCCTTTTTCATTGCATCCAAACTATCAACCAACTTAGTTTTCGAAACGCCCGGTACCGTTTGCATCCATTGTATCAACCACACACCGCTGTCTTCGCAGAAATATTCAACACTCTACTCCCCCTCCCCCCTCCCCTCGCGTTGATTTTTCCCCCCTCCCCTTAGGCAAAGAGAAGGAACGCTTCACGTTCGTTCTGGCTGTCATGGCGGACGGCAAAAGGTTTTGCCGCGCATCATCGTCAAGGGCACGCCGTTCATCCCCCCGACCGTTAGCGGCAAGGGCAAGAGCACCCTGCCGCGGAAGAACTACGTCGCGTGGGAGAACCATCCTGCGAACCGCGCCGAGCACGGCCATCCTGCCAACGGCATGTCCTTCGGCGTGCAGGAGAAGAGCTGGAGTGACCAGCGGGAGTGCAACGGGTGGATCTCGGGCAGCTGGAAGCTCCGTCCCAACAACGGCAGCATCGTCCAGCAGCGCCCGTGCATCCTGGTGCTGGACGACGTCAAGTGCCACAAGTACGAGGGTTTCATCGCCGCCCTCAAGAGAGACGCCAACACCATGGTCATCTTCATCCCAGGCGGGTTGACGCCCTTGCTCCAACCGCTCGACCGCATGCTCAACAAGCAGATGAAGCGGCTGCTTCGGGGCAAGTACACCGCCTACAGCACGTCGGCGGTCGCAGACGCCCGGTCGGGGAAGCTGAAGCCACCGGAGCGTGGGGTCGTCTCTACGTGGTGCAAGGAAGCGTGGGAGTCCATCACCCCCGAGACGGTGAAGAGTTGCTTCAAGATCTGCGGTCTCACGCTCGCGCTCGACGGCAGCGAAGACCACGCCTGGTGCGATCACGACTTCGGGGAAGACTCCCATGACCTTCTCGAGGAGCAGCACGCCGTGTGGCTCGCTGAGCACCCCGACGTGACTCTCCCGCCGCTCAAGCTGCCGAAGGTACCAGGGGGGTTCGACTCCAACCCCATCACGGCTGCTCAGAAGGAGGTCGAGGGGAAGCTGCTACCCTACGTCGCTGATGAGAGCGACAGCGAGGTGGAGGTCTTGGAGGGCGATAGCGACGTGGAAGTCGTCGAGGGGCAGGGGGGCGGGGGCGCGGAAGGAAATGTAGTCGAACTTTGAACCATAGTCCTTTGGGATTTCCAGTGAGATTGGATGTTTTTGCGATGGTAGGGGCGCGGGCACGAAGTAGGTTGGACGCACACAAAGACCAACAAAACAATCAAGGAGGCAATCATGGCGTGGAAGAGAGAGCAAGAGCTTCGAGCCAGATGACCTTCACTACAACAAACGACGCAGGGCCAGAGAAGGACTGCCGAAAAGCAATGATTATGAGAATGATGATGGTGGTGAAAGTAAGGAGGATGATGATGGTGAAAGCACCCCAAAACAAGCAAGAGTGCCAGGTAGCAGCCTTCTTGGTAGACGCGTGCAGTTTTCTTCTGTTGCTATACCTTTTCCTCTCTCATTCAGAGAATAGCTTAGTCTCCCCCATGCCGCCCCCTCACGGGGTTCCAGATAATTGCATTTAGTGTCTTGTGTTTTGAACCGCACTGAGACTGACGTCTTTTCATTGGCCAGCCGGTTAGCGCGGTCTATGCGAGCAATCAAGACACAGACACACACGGACAGCGACAGAAGCAGCACCGAAACGAGGGTACACGTGCTGCTACAGACCCGAAGAGCTCTACGCAGAGGCGCCTTTCGAGGACGGTGATCTGGCGATGATAGCAGCGCATTCCGCCAAGCGGGTGCACCAGGCAGACATGAGGTAATTTTTCCCATAGTGCAGGCGGGAGGTGGTTGTTTGTTTTCTTGTAGTGAGCGTCCTGTCTTGTTTTTTATTTCTTTGTCTTTATTTATATCTTGCAACATCGAACGAGGGTAACGAGGACTGAGATTTAGCTTCGTTAGCTACGTATTAATGTAGAAGAGTTGGTTCGCGCGACAGCAGTTCAGGGTGTGCAGTGTACAGTGCGAGTGCTGAGGCAGGAAGAAAATAACGGTGGAATTTAAAGGAGGTGAAGCCGTGGGCGGTAGCTTGCTCCTAGAGATAGATGAAGGTTCTGTCGTTGACACGCTTGTCCACGACCATGTTGAGATGGGAACGTTGCCTGTTATTGCTGAGAGACGATCAGCAAGGGTCTGAGATGAAGTGGGGATCCAACTTTATCTCAGGGGGTACACAGAGTAGACAATTCTAAGGGGGTACGGGTCAGAAGGGTTTACCTCCTGACCGACCCGCATCCTCTCAACAATAAGATGTGCCCTAGTCATGCTAGCAGCCACACTCCTTAACACCAGCCCACCCTGAATATCATATATGCAGATTTTATACTCAAATAATTGCTCAAATCCTAAAGCTACAGTATGATTTAGCTGATGATTTATGATCATGAATCGAAGATATGACTCTTCACAAAACATCCAAAAGGAGGGTCAGTCGTAGAAATATCCCGAATCAACCCCCCACACCATCATTGAGATGAAGAATGCGAACGGTCACGAGACCGAACATCGACATCTCAATGACAACGCTTGAAGGGATAAAGCTACGAAGAATATACATTGCTGCAGAGAACGCTATCATCCTGAACAGACGACGACAGAGGAAACAAAGCCAATGTCCAAACGACATACACCACTCTTTTACGCGCACCCGCGTGTATCACCACAGGAGAAACGAGGGTGACTACCCGAGAGAGTCCAACATTCGGTGACGAAACTCAAAACTCAAACAAGTATCCGAACGAATACGGCCTTTGATACTGGACGCGACGCAAAGGGAAAACTCAACGCAATTTAGGACAACGTCAACGAAAGGCAGGAGACAAGAACGACAGGCAAAGGCACGGAGAACGATGGCCAGCGTGCCAGGGTACCCAACTCGTGTAAGGAGACGGCAAGGGCAACATCTCATGGGGACCAAGGACGAAAAGCACAAACGATTAATGCAAGAGAGGCGGTCGACGAACTGCGCCATAGCTCGCTGGCGATACGCATCATACAAAGACATAAAACACAGAAAAGTCGTTGAGATTCACACAACAAGACGACGACTTAGGGGCGTTACTGTGATGAAGGTGTCGTCCGAAGGTGGCGATGATGGAGACGAAGCAGAACGAAGTGTGGGTGACGACGAAAATCCACGAGATAAGGCGACGCCACGGGATGGAATCCCGAAGCACCAAGCGTATGCGACACTCCTGCGGCACGATGGAGCTAAAACAAAAACACCATTAAGACAAACATAAGTTGGCAAACAGTATAACCAGGAACACCCGGGAAACTCGGTGTCCAAGTGTCCCGCGGCAAACAACAACGACGAAACTTGGGGAGCTCTTTTCCAAGTGTTCAGAGGCAAACAGCACCGACGAAACTGGGGCAACTCATTTTCAAAGTGTTCAGAGGCAATCAACACCGACGAAACTTGGGGAACTCTTTTTTCCAAGTGTTCAGAGGCAAACAACACCGACGAATCTTTGGGAACTCTTTTTCCAAGTGTTCAGAGGCAAACAACACCGACGAATCTTTGGGAACTCTTTTTCCAAGTGTTCAGAGGCAAACAACACCGAGGAAACTTCGGTGGGAGGCTGTCGAGAGAACCAAAGACCAACACCAACGAAAAAATGAAGCAACGGCGAGAGAGAACAGACATCCAGGTCGCGGCAGTTCACTGATTGAGACGAATGCAGGCAACAAGGAAGAAGGATTACTCGCCACTGCGTGTCTTGAGGCGGCGTTGCCCCAGCGTCCAAAACAAAAAATAAGCCAACGAAAGAACAGAGACAGGACAGAAAAAAACAAAACAAAACAAAACAAAACGGAAGGTGACAGAAAAAAAGAAATCAAAACGTAGGCGAGAAGGATGGCACAAAATACCAAAATAGGCCGATTGGTATATGAAAACGACGACGCTAAGAAGAAATGGTAGGAATAGCCGACGGTAAGGAGTCAGCAAGGAGAGAAGTGCGACCACGGTTGTCGCCCAGAGTGCGCGAACGATATTTCTCGAAACACCATGATCCACAGACGGCGACCAAGGCGGTGGAGTAGAGGTGGGCAGGCAGAGGGAGAACGCTTGGGGCCGGGTCATCCAAGAATCGAACGATGTACGAGCCGCCCTGATGAGCACCAATACGTCCAGTCCACCACAGTCCATCACGGGCCTTGTACCACAGCCGCGCGCCAACAGGGAGGGGCGAAATGCTGAAACGACGAAGCCAAGTCGCGTGAAGCACAAGATCAGCCCCAAGAGGCAAATACATCTGCACGATTCCGGGCTAGCTCCTGCTGTCCCGCGCGAGTCCGAGCCACTCGATATGTACGGTTACCCTGCTTGCTTTGGCAGACCTCCCGGGACCAGTACAAGAGGATGTGTCGACGGGATTGATCAAGGTCGGATTCCCGTTCCCATGAAGGAGTAGTCAGGCCTAACCAATGCGTCTGGTACAGGGCAGAGAGAACGCCGCTACGGCCCCGCACCAGTTGATGTCCCGATATGTAGGCGACCTCGAGGCGCCCGACAGGCACCGACACATCATCCGCGGTGACGTGGAAAGGTGGACATTAATCTCCGAACGAGTGCAGAACATAACGCGAAGGCTCGGCGGGTAGAGATTGCGGCAAGTCTTCCGTCTCGTACGGATTGCGACAGGGCTTGAAACGAAGGACAGGCACGCGACAACGAGCTGCCGGGCCGGAAAGATCGGAAGGCAGGTCCAGGTAGAGGAGTTTGCGCGCCAACGGGCGGCCGTCCGGAACGGAGTCGGCAGAGGCGGGACCCACCGCAAGAACTTTGTGGGGCCCCGTCCAGGAAAGTGCGAATTTGGCCTTGAGCACCTGTTGGTCCGTGTCCTTCTGCACACCCTGTCGAATTGTAGCAGCCGTGTTGTACACTCCAGACCACCCGCCAACGGCAAACTGAGGGAAGTTGTGAATGGCGTCCAGCAGGGATGAATTGCGGCGTTCGACTCGCGAAATCTTCAGGGTTTTGTACTCACGGACAAGTTCGTAGGCCCGGCGCTGGCGATCGACAGTCAGGTTGCAATAATCGAGTTGATCGCGGGCCAAGCTTTGATGACCACCTACCGTGGGATGATCGAAGACCGAAAGCGGGAGTCGCGGGATGCGTCCGATGTGGATCTCGTTTGGCGCCAATCCAGTAGACTGGTTCGCGGAATTGTTGTAGGCAAACTCAACGTGCGGGAGATGTACGTCCCAATCGTGTTGCTGTTCGTTGACGACCACCGCAAGCATCTGGGCCATCGTGTGGTTGACGCGTTCAGTGCCGCCGTTGGTCTGTGGGTGTTAGGAGCTGGTGGTGGCCTTTTTGATCTTCATCACGTCGTAGATCGCCATGGAGAGCTTCGAGCAGAAATGCAGTCCGTTGTCCGAAAATAACGTAGTCGGACATCCCCACTTGGTCATGTATTGGTTGACGAACATGTGAGCCGTCCCTTTCGCCGTAAATTCCGCCGCTGTAACTGCGAACATGTCGGCTCTCCGACTAAAATGGTCTGTGAACAACAAAATGTAGGGTTGCCCTTGGCAGTCACTGGCAGAGGTTCGAAGAAGTCGACGCCGAAGACCGTACCAGGCCCCTGCGGCAATGGCATAGCGAAGGCGGGCCGCCGAGCAGTCTGACGTGAAGTCTTGCGAGCTTGACACACCAAACACGCCCGAAGCCATCAGCGCACGGAACGATCCAAACCAATCCACCAGTACAAGCGCTCGAGCAGACGCTGTGTACGATGGACGCCGAGATGGAATGACGCGGCGGTATGGCATGCATGAAGGACCCACGGACGCATCAGCATTGGCACGTAGACACGGGACACGCCAGTATCCGGCAGACGAGTGGTCCTGCCGCCAGAGCGCCCAACCGGCGACGGCGCCGATTTATGTGCGAGGAGGGTGATGTTGTCGTCGGTCGTGTGCAGTCTGATTTTCGCTGCCAACACAAGCACATCATCCAACCGAGGGGAGCGAAGAGGAGCACGGAGAGTGAGCAAGTTCGGAGGGGGTGGGGAGGGAGAACCGTGGGACAAAAAACGCATAGCCACCACACACTCGCCCTCCCGCTGTTGTTCCCTAGCCCAGTCTATAGTGCTGAAACTCTAAACACAAGCTCGCAAGTGGGAGGTGTCCAAATCAGAAGATGCCGAAAAAAGATCAGGCGATCCAACGGAAGAGGCTGAAGAAGGCGAATCCTCAGCGACTGGGGCAGCCGCAGTCCGTGGTGATGTCCGCAAAGGGGACATCTTGAGGGGTGAAGACGCAGGCGAAACCTGTAGAGAAGGCAAAATCAGGGATGCAGGGCGCGCCGCTGACGGCGAAGACACCGGTGGCGCAGGAGCAGTGGACGAAAACGCTGATGCCGGCGTTGCGGATGGCTGCAGCAGACGCGCGGCGGTCCGGGTGGTCTTGTTTGGCGAGCGGGACCTGCTAGAGCGACGGGCAGGCGACAATGTCCGAGGGACAATGGTAGCCCGCGGCTGGCGTCCGAAATAAGCGGGACCGGTGACGGTGCCTCCGGAAACAGCGGTAGTTTTGGCCCAAGTCCGTTAAGAAATGAGCGGTCCCCGCTCCGGAAGGGAAGACAAAACGTGCACATGTCTAATCGCCGAAGACGCGGCAGGAGACATCACGCGGGACGCAGCAGCAGTCAATAGGGAAGCAGGCTCTGAAGACACGGGAACAGGCGAGACGATGAAGACCCCCGGGGACCGCCGAGAATTCTCCCGGGCAATCGTTGAGTCCGTCAGAGCATCCAACCTACGCGGGTGATGTCGGCGAAAATCCCCAAATTCGGAGGGCTGCAACGCTGGGGGCGAAAAGACTCCCGCCGGGCAAGGAGGGCGGAGCCCACCCAAACCGACCTCCGGCGCAGACGGCGAGTGATAGTTGTGCCCGCAAGCCCGAATAAAGAAAACACCCGCTTGACCGACACCATCAATGCAGTCGGGGCCGGTTTTGTCGGTGTCTTGTGCTGGTAAAGGTAGCCGCGAAAGAATATCCACGTTGCTGATTGCCGAACCTTTCCGATATTTCAAGGTGTACGTGAAGTTGGACAGGAATTCGAGCCATCGTTGCACCCTAGCGTTGTGTTCCCCAACCTTGCCAATGCTCTCCAAGGCTTTGTGGTCCGAATAGATGATGAACTTCGTCGACCAAAAGATAACCGCGAAGTCGTTTGATGGCCCAAACAATGCCACCAGCCTCCAGATCCAAAACGGTCCAGTTACGCTCCGCAGGAAGAGTAGCGCGGCTGATGTACACGACGGGCCTCACCGAGCCATCGAGCTGTTCTTGTTCCAAGGAGGCGCCAAAGCTGTCGATACACTCGTCGGAACACAAACGAAGAGGACGGCTGTTGTCCTCGATTGCTGTCCAGTCCGGGAAGACCAAAATCGGGGGGCGAGTGAGTTTGCTTAACAACGTTTTGACAACCTTGACCATGCCCGAGGTGTACTTGAAGGGAACGCCTTGTTTGAAAAGAGAGTTGAGAGGTCGCACCTTGGTGGCGAGATTCTTGAGGAATTTCCGGTAGCGGCTGAGTCCATCGAGAAGGCTCCGAAGCTGCTTAACATTCGTCGGCGGCGGCATTTGCGCGCCCTAATCTTAACGCCATCAGGGCTAACACCGGCCGGCGAGATGGTGTGACCGAGAAAGTTGGTGGGCGTGGCGCCGACGCGCGCCTTCCCTGGAGACAGTTCGAGGGTGTACTGTCGCAGTGGTTTGAAGAACTCGATCATGTTCAGCACGTGTCCCAGAGGTTCCTCATCGAAACAGATGACGTCGTCCAGATCCGCAAGCACACGCTCCAGACCGTGCACCACTCTGTTGATAACCTTGACGAACCAAGGCGGACTTGCGTTGGCTCCCTGCGGCATCCGAAGCCATTCGAACAAGTGAGTGGGAGTGCAAAAGGCGGTGAGCGGGACAGTGTCTTCATCACAAACGATCTGGTGGAAAGCCGAGTTGAGGTCGAAGATGGAGAAGACTTTCCCGGTGTACAGAGAATCCCAGATACCGTCCACTCGAGTAAGAGGTTGTCCATCCAAATCCACCAGAGCGTTGAGACTTTTGTAGTTGACGTTGATGCGAACCGATCCGTCCTTCTTGGGGATGACAACTTAAGGAGACGCCCACGGAGGCGTGGAATGTTGGATGAGCCCTGCCGCCAAGTACTGGCAATACGGCGTTCACTTTCTTTGGATCAACGGGTTGATAAGATACGGGCGTGATCCAACGGGCTTCGTCCCTGCTGGGACCGAATAAGTGAACGGCATGATGGTTCAGGAACTAAAGTCGCTTTTCGAGGTAGAGAACACGTCAGAATACTCCACAAGGGCGTCGGCCAAACGATCAATAGCCTCCGGTGTCCATCCTGGATTGTGTAGATCGAAAGCGATGTCTGCATATGTGCTGGTAGCCTAGCCCACAAACGCATGAAGCTGGAGCGCTGTGCCTCAGAAAAGCGGTCAAGTAGTTCTTGTGGAGGCGACTTCGGAGGAGGCGGGGCAGAGGCTGGGTCCTGAGAGCGGTGAGTCCCGGACATGGGGCCAACGACGTTCACCCGAGGTGGCGATGTAGATGTTGTGGGGCCGGTAGGAATCGAAGATGGTGCCGCCTTCAGGGTTTCCACCGGTACTTGTAGTAGCGGCGCGGCAGACACTCCAATAACGTCTCCCGGCTCAAGCTCGGCACAACCTGCAAGGGGAATACGCTGGAGACCATTGGAAACGAACGCATCTGGGGACGAAAGTGCACCCACTTCGGGTTTGGACGATACCAGATACTCTCCAATCAGCGCAGGCATGCCAGAAGAACGAACGAGGTTCACCTCAACGAGTGCAGGCTCCGGCCCCAAGGATATTCCCGAGCTCTCTGCATATTTAAGGTGAAACGAGGAGGCAGGAGCGTCATCGTGTGTAGCGTAAACGCAAGCGCCAGCTGTAAAACGCGGAGAGAGCGTGAGCTCGCCCATAACCCAGCCGTCCGGTCCAGGATGGGGGAGGGTGGTGAACACGCGAGAGTTGAAGCGCATCCAGCTATCACGACTAAGAAGCACGGCGTGCCCAAGGCGGCGTCTGGAACAACACAGGCCCAGACCGCCAAGGAAGCGGTAGCTCGATCTCCATGGAGAAATTTAACGGTGAGACGAATTGACCGGGTGGTCACAAGAGCGGGTCCATCACCAAACCCACCCCAACGACGAGAGGGCGAAACACGAACGCTGCCAGCTGTCAGGGCTCCAGCAGCTATCATGGCGGTGACCACGGAGTCGGACACGAAGGACGCAGGAGACCCAGAGTCCAGAAGCGCCACTCGCGCGAGTTGAGAAGTGGCTGTAGGTCCTCCATGTAGCAGAACCCTGGTGATGTATCAGTCCGAGTCCAACAGGAGCGGGCCGCCGACCAGATCGGGCCCATGTTCGAGAAGAGGAGGCTGGTCTGCACAAGCGGAGGTCGATGCCACCAGATGAACGCCAGGAGCATGGTACCCCGTAGCGTCCAAACGGAGACAAGCTGGGTCTTCGCCCGGGGCCTCCCGTGACGACGAACCTGCCGCAGTAGCAACCTCATGAATGCGTCGATGTCCACGGAGAGGAGGCTGCGAAATGGCGGGCGTGGGAGAAGTGGAATCGGGGCAATCTTCGCCAGAGAGGGGATTATCACGCAAAAGGCGTCGAACTCCATCAAAGCTTTTCCCAACAAGTTTTACTGCTAGCCGCCCACTTGGATGAAACGCTAACCTCTGGAAGCATGCAGACATGCCGATACCCCAAACATGATCGAAGGGGCTGACTTCCGCAAGGAGACGGGTACCCGTCTCCAGTAGATGGTGATTCATGTCATGGTTTGAGCAAATTTGGCATACGACCCCGTATGCACGGTCGCTTCACGACGACGCTCCCATTCAGCTTGAGTCGAAAGGACGCACGTTACGACCCAAAAACTTGTGTGTCTTGGGATCTGTTGCAGCCATAATTTGTCATACGACGTCATATCTCCAAACAACTTCGCTTCTTCAGACATCATCAATTGCTTACCACATGAATAACGTACCCCCAGTATGCCAAAAGCCGAAGGGGTCCATTGCGAGAACACAGACGGAGGTTTCCAGAAGAGAAGGACGTCATCCGAAGCGTACTCGCACTTGTCATCAAACGGCGGAGCTGGTGCAGGGCGAAGGGGCAAAGAGCGGGCACCAGGCACAGGCGGGGATGGACCAAGCGGACGGGTCCTCATCTCTGACGGAGAGGACCCAGAAAGCGAGGCAGGAACGGGCGAAGTCGCAACGCGCCCTGATCCGGAGGGCAGCCTAAGGGTGGCGGCTCCGGCGGGGTCAATGTTGGCAGAGGCCATTCGGCTATTAGAGACGCATTCGTTAGGAGAAGTCATTCCTGCAGCAGACGGATGTTTATTCATTGACGCAGGGCGCTCTTGACTACTCCCCCTTGACAAAGGAGCCGAACCTTCTACAGAATGGTGGGCACCACCATCCGATCCCGATGGCAGTGGTGCAGTCAGCACTTGGTGGGCAGCAGAGGAAGGCGCATTCGNGCATTCGTTAGGAGAAGTCATTCCTGCAGCAGACGGATGTTTATTCATTGACGCAGGGCGCTCTTGACTACTCCCCCTTGACAAAGGAGCCGAACCTTCTACAGAATGGTGGGCACCACCATCCGATCCCGATGGCAGTGGTGCAGTCAGCACTTGGTGGGCAGCAGAGGAAGGCGCATTCGTATCAGGCGCTGTCACACAGGGGCAGCAGACGGTCGAAGACAACGAAAGCTGCGAAAGCGAAGGAGGATCAACGGGGTTCCCGACGAGTGTACAAGAAGGCTCGTGTGCTGTCCGAGAAGAGTCCCGGCTGACAACACCAGGAGAATCGTGACGAACAGTATAAGACGAGATTCTTGTTCCTTCTGTAACCCGAGACGACGAGGTGAGCAGGGATGAACCGCTCGACGTCTTACCTCCCTGTCACCCACACCACAAAGGTACTGCCGAAATGGGTTTGTTATGTCCAATACCAGCAGACGATGAGGCGGACGACGAGGAGGTGGGCCGAGAAGCTAGATGTGATTGAGGAGCGTGGGGAGTATCCAAAGAAATAGGCTGTACACGAACAACTTGGGAGACTCCAAAAGGATTCATGATGGCTGCTGTTGACGGTAGTACCGGCTGAACTCCCCATCGGCTTGTCAATTCTTACCCCTCCAGCCCCGTTTAGCCGAAGTGGAAGCCTCCGACGAGAGCTCTGTGTGTGAGGACTGTTTCGTGTCCGATGTGTCAGATGAGCGGCGGGCGCGTCCTGAGGAGTGATTTCGGTGTGGGTTGCGTCCTGTAGGGCGTCTATACTAGGTCATGGGCTTTTTCCACCGACCCCGAAGTGTGGGATCGTTTTCCATACAGAACTTCATGTCATTGTTAAGCAAGCCGGTGCCGTTCACGAAACCACGATTACAGGATTTGAAGGAGTGGGCTTCTCCTAAGCAGTTCAGGCACTTGCCCTTGTACAGTCGAAGCGCGTTGNTAGGTCATGGGCTTTTTCCACCGACCCCGAAGTGTGGGATCGTTTTCCATACAGAACTTCATGTCATTGTTAAGCAAGCCGGTGCCGTTCACGAAACCACGATTACAGGATTTGAAGGAGTGGGCTTCTCCTAAGCAGTTCAGGCACTTGCCCTTGTACAGTCGAAGCGCGTTGCGGCGTTCTTCAGGCGAGACCAAGGGGGTGAACAATGGCGGATCACTCTTCGTTAGAGCCATCTCACGTTGTATACCTCTTGGAAGTGTCCTTGCAACGGCCAGTCACTGTAATGCAACAGGGTCAACACTCATCACGGCCACCGAAGAGCCCTGGCTCCACAAAGGGGTCACCGTCGAACGCAACGCCGAAGAAGCTACAGCACGCGAAACAGCAGCCGAACTCCTAGCATTCATGGAAGATACCGAAAAGAAATCATCTACATGCACCGCCGGCGTGTGCGCAAACGCACGCTTGTCCAACACATCCCACATGTCATCCAGACACGAAGCATGTCGCCCAAAAGGGGCTTCCATGGAGAGCTGCTCATCCTTGTACACCTGCCCAGACACTACCGGAAACTGCTTCAACATGGAGTCTAGAACAGCTATCTGCACTTGCGCTTCCGAAGGCTTGAACGCGTGGTGGGAAAGCATGACGGTCATGGCCAGAGCCTTATAGCGACGAATGTATTCTCCGTAGGTCTCGCCGTTGGACACGCCAAAACTGCGAAGATGATCAATCCCCAAGCTCTTGTCTTGAGTGTCCCAGGCAGCCGCCAATTTCTGGATGAAGAAGGCGTACGTCGAGGGCCCTGCCGGTTCCTTGCGCAGATGGTTTTCTACCTGTAGGAAGGTGGCATCAAGAAATTCCAGCGTGGCACGGTTGGTGGTTTGGTCTTCAACGACAGCAGCACGGACACGTTTGCGCAACAACGGAAGCCATCCGGTGACCCAGGTGGAGGAATTGAAAGTCTGCTTGCGCTTGACGTCGCTTTTGTTGAGGATCTCTGTGCCCACACCCTTTCAGCTGGACGCGAAACGAGCAAATTCATCAGGATCAGGACCGAGGGGCAAGCGTGTGACACTATCAAGTCCGGCTTCAGCTTGTCCATCGTGCCTTGGATGCGGATGGTGTCGGCCTCCGCTGCAGCGGCGTGCGCAGCGTCCAGGGCCTCCTGTCTCGCTCTCGCTCCCGTGGAAGACAAAGGCAATCCAGCATCGTTCTGAGTCAACGGTGATGCCGCTTGACCCGGTGGCTCGACGATGTGGCCGGTCGCAGAGCGAGGATCAATCAGAATAGACGCACGCTGGAGGAGGGGGGGCGATACCACCAAAGGCTGTTGCAACCGGGCTGGGGCTGCCGACGCTGACGGTACCACCGCAGGTCCGACCGGAACTGTCGCCGATATCGTGGCGGATGACGATGATCCTGACGTGGCCCTGGCAGCGGTTTCGGCACGAACATCGCGCCCAACAGGAGCTCCCGAAAAGCTCGAAGCGTGGTCTTGCAGCGGTGTCAGATGCGTTCGTGGTGGTACGCTAGGGGAAAAAAGATGGGGCAGGTTGTGGCACGCTAGGAGCGTGGGAGGGCACAGGAGGTTGTACATTCGCGTCGGCAGCAGCATTCACTACTTGATTTGCTCGCAGGAGAGTGAGTACTTCTTCCAACAGCATTTCAGTACGAGAAGCCGAAGTCGAGGCGTGTGATGCAGCATGGCGTGGTGACTCAACACGTTCGTCCCAAGGCAAGGAAGATGTGGGATGATCCATAACGGCATGGGCAGGGGCATGGCTTTTCACAGCGGCTGAATGTTCATGAAGTTGCATGTTGGCAAGTTTGAACGCCAAAGAATACATGGTCGGTTGGCCTACATCAGCGGGCGGGCGTAGAACAAGCGGTGACGAACAGAGAGAACCGTCTTCTGAAGCATCCTTGTTTTCCCGCAACCACCCAGAGCTACGAAAACCACCCCGATCATGCATCACTTACCTGTTACCGTGGCCTGACTTCCGTCCCCCTTTTCCGCCGCGACTGCTGTCAGTGCTGGTCGCCCTGCTGTAGCCCCCGCTCCGGTTCTGGCTCCGGCTGAGGCTACGCCTAGACGAAGGCGTGTTTCTCCCACGATGGTCTCCGCTCCGGCTGCGCCCACGCCTAGACGAAGGATTGGTGCGCTGTTGACGTTCTGCGCTCCGACTTGCTCCGGCGGCGGCGGCTCGCCGGCGAAGAACTGGTAGACTGGCTCCCCACGGCTTGCCCTCGCCCGCCATCTCCGGTGCCGCGCCCTCGCGAAGACTGGGTGGAGCGGCGGTGTTTGTCCGTCCCGCTCTTGGCCGTCGAATCTTGGTCACCCCAAAGGTTCTTCCAGCTCGTAGACGCAGGAGCCGCCGACCGATTATAGTCCTTGTCCCCTCCAGAAACATGTGCAGGGCGTGAAGAGGCCTGCCGGGGGGCTTGCAGATCGTGCATGAATTCATTGTTTGAGGCAGCACGAGTAAAAGGCAGCTGGAGTCGTTCATCTTGGGCCACCACCGACGTTCCTTGAGGACCGCTGGTAAAAGAGGCATGACGGAGAGCGAATAAAATCGGAACACGGACTGCCGAGGAGAAGGCGGAAGTTTCGCGATGTAGGGGGCAGCATAGATGTGCCCGAAAGCAACGGTGTGAGAGTGGGGAAATTGAGCACGGACGAGNTTTGTCCGTCCCGCTCTTGGCCGTCGAATCTTGGTCACCCCAAAGGTTCTTCCAGCTCGTAGACGCAGGAGCCGCCGACCGATTATAGTCCTTGTCCCCTCCAGAAACATGTGCAGGGCGTGAAGAGGCCTGCCGGGGGGCTTGCAGATCGTGCATGAATTCATTGTTTGAGGCAGCACGAGTAAAAGGCAGCTGGAGTCGTTCATCTTGGGCCACCACCGACGTTCCTTGAGGACCGCTGGTAAAAGAGGCATGACGGAGAGCGAATAAAATCGGAACACGGACTGCCGAGGAGAAGGCGGAAGTTTCGCGATGTAGGGGGCAGCATAGATGTGCCCGAAAGCAACGGTGTGAGAGTGGGGAAATTGAGCACGGACGAGTTGTTTTACGCCAGTCCATGCACTCTCCCTTACTCTCCCTTATTCCCCTCGCTGCTCGACAAGCTTTTGCTTAGACATGGGTTGTAGTGAAGGGGGGGGTCTTTCTGGCGAGCAGGGCTAGACTCACCCTCAAGGGATGACCGAAACCTTCTTGCTGCTGCGCAT